GACAAGGCCACGGAAGAAGGACACACTTGGACACGGTTGTGATGCGTGCGAATGTGGAGCCACGGGCAGCGACCACCCCAGACAGAAAACAGAAAAATACACGCACACAAGAGGAGGCGGGTTACAGAGACACGCTTGCATTCTGGCTTCGGGGCATCACGCCACGCGCTTGGTCGGCGCCGCCAGCACGTACTACGCCCGGGACGGCCAACAACATAGGGGAGATTACCCATGCTGACCGCACCCAAACCCCCAGATAACCACCCGATTGTCGTTTACGGCTGCGGCTCAGGTGGCAAGCGCAGCGCGGACTGGAGATGCCGACGACGCGGCTGGGCTTGGGCACGGCTTACCTCAATGGGCGACAACGACGAATTCCAGATCGCTGCAGCCCGCCACGGCCCACTACCACACAGACGGCAGACCAGCAACAGGGCAGAACTCTGGGCGCTACTGGACTGCCTACGGCACACAACGTGGCCACTAGGCTATTGGACGGACAGCGAGTTGGCACCCCAAGGATGGCGCAACAAACGGTACCTTCGCGAAGGAGAGGGCGGCACCAACGGCGACCTCTGGGAGTTTATCGGCAGGGGGCCCAGCACACGCAGCACCAGAGGCGACGAAGTAGTAGAAGTCCACCACATCAACAGCCACCTCACGTGGAAGGAGGCGCAGGCGCGAGGATTCCCATTCCACGCATGGCACGGCAACGGACAAGAGGATAAGCTGGCGGAGACAGCAGCGAGAGATCACGACACCGACGACGCACAGGTGGCACGCCACAATTGGGGCAACGCTACCACAGCACTTGTCCGACGCAGAATTAGCAGCAGTAACAGCCGACGCCATCGACAGACGCCCGCCCGAGAAGAAAGAAGCACGCGGAGCCAGACTCGGAATGACAAGAAAAAGAAAGTCGCAGCACCGACGGAGAAACTACTGCTTCACAGAAGGGCCCGACCAATCGGAAGGAGGGGGATGACCATCAACCACGCACAACTTGATTGGGACAAGGCGCGGTAACGGGTCGCAATACAAGCGCTGTTCGCAACAAAGTGCGCAAAGACACCTGCTACAAAGCCGCAAGGTAATGCCCCCATGAGGCGTGTAAGGGGCAGCCTCCAAGACACGGCACATAAGCCCCACAGCATGATTCAGCAGCACACCCAAGCCACCCCCTTGTACTACCCCGAGCTGAAGCCAGATGGTTCCGCAGGCTATGTGGAGCAAGGACAACGGAGTGCATCTCGGTCAAAATGAAGAAAGCGTGCAAGAAATGGCCTGGACACAGCAGCATCAAGTACAAACAACGGCACTGGCTCAACGAGGTGGAGGAATACTAAGGGTAGCAAGGATTCAACAGCGGCTCGGAAAACAGCCAGCAGGCAGGCACGCACCACACCCCCCTCAGGAGAGGGCAGTTGTGAGCACTGACCTGCTTAGCGACTAGTCGCCCACGTTTTGCCGACGCCAGCCGCCCAACCGCAGCTTACACGACGACGGCGACAGCGGCTTGGAAGATAGCCAACAGGCACGCACCACACCGTCCCACCAGGGGCAGGATGTGAGTACCGACTTGCTTGGCGCATCGCCCTTGTCGTTGCCCGAATACCTCGTTAAAGACTTCGCAACGCGAGGCGCAACGTCGCCACAGTTTTGCGGGCATGACAGAGATCACGATATCTTCTCCAGGAGTCAAACAGTTGCGCGCAACGGAGCTGAGGGGAAGGACAGCCACTCCCTGCGTCGGCCAGGGGGGGGGGGGCGGCTGGCGGAGGTCAGCGTGCAGAACCGCGCCCGCCGATGCTGGCCGCTCTCGTCGTGAACATCAAGCTGCCGCAGTACCACGACGATAACGAGCAACGCCACGACAACAACACGCTTGGTACGGCCACCCTCCTTGGAAGGCATGTCGCGTCGGGTGCCTGCGGTAACCGCCGTGGGGACCCGTCGCGGGGTGCCGAGGATCTCGGAGGCGGATCGACATCACGCCAGAGTGCGAGCCCGATTCCCCTGCCCCTGCGTTTCCACCGGACGCGAGGGGAGAAGGGGCGGTCCCCGGGGACGCGGCCCTTGTTGCTGCGAGAAGGAGAATGACGACCAAGCAGAAGCCGCAGCAGCAGCAGAATACTGCCACCATCATCGGAAGGCATGCCGCGACGAGTGCCCATGGCTTGCGCCGTGGAGGTCCGCCGCGGGGTGCCGAGGATCTCGGGGGTGGGACGCGTTCACCCACGAGGACTCAACAAGGTCCCCCGCGACTCAGCCAGGCGCGGGGAGGGAGGGCGGCCCCCAGGGACGCGGCCCTGTGAGCGGCGGCGGCCTGCGCCCCCGCAAGACGCGCAGGGAGAGAGGGCGGTCCCCAGGGACGCGGCCCTCGGAGCGGGGGCGGCCGCGGGGCCGCCCTCTCTCCGAGGGCCGCGGACGCTCGAGGAGTAACTCGAGTCATTCCCCCTCGTCCTCCTCCGGCTCGTCCTCCTCTTTGTCCGCCTCTTCCTCCTCCTCCTCCTCCTCCTCCTCCTCCTCCTCCTCCTCCTCCTCCTCCTCCTCCTCTCTCCTCCTCCTCTCCTCCTCCCTCCTCCTCCCTCCTCCTCCTCCTCCTCCTCCTCCTCCTCCTCCTCCTCCGCTCCTCCTCCTCCTCCTCCTCCTCCCTCCTCCTCCTCCTCCTCCTCCTCCTCTCCTCCTCCTCCTCCTCCTCCTCCTCCTCCTCCCTTTCCTCTCCTCCTCCTCCTCCTCCTCCTCCTCCTCCTCCTCCTCCTCCCTCCCCTCCTCCGCCCCCTCCTCCTCCTCCTCCTCCTCCTCCTCCTCCTCCTCCTCCTCCCCTCCTCCTCCTCCCTCCTCTCCTCCTCCCTCCCCCTCCTCCTCCTCTTCCTCCTCTCCTCCTCCTCCTCTTCCTCCACCTCCTCCTCCTCCTCCTCCTCCTGCTCCTGCTTTAGTGCCGGTCTGTGCGACGCGCGGCCGCGTCCATCAGCGTCTTATCCTCCTGCTCCTCCTCCTGCTCCTCCTGCTCCTGCTCCTGCTCCTGCTCCTGCTCCTGCTCCTGCTCCTCCCTCCCTCCCTCCCTCCCTCCCTCCCTCCCTCCCTCCCTCCCCCCCTCCTCCTTCCCCCACCCCCCGCGCCCGCGCAAGAGCCCCCCCCCCCCTCCGCCCTGAGGCCGCGGCGGAAGTGCTGGGGTCGCCGCACCACTCGACGCAGCCCCTCGAGATCGCGCCCCCCTAGCAGCCCGCGCGCGGCCTGCGCGCCCTACGCTGGCGGCTGCAGCTGCCCAGGGCGTTTTGCGCGCGGCCCTCGGCGGCCGCGGCGGCAGCTGCTGCCCCGGATCCCGACCTCCCTCCCGCCCCTCGCCCTCGTCGGGGATTCTTCGTAGAGGGGGGGCTGTCCCAAGGTGGGGTTAGGGAACAAACCCAGCGGGTGTCGTCTAACCCCACGTGTGCCCCTACCCCACCTTTACGTCCCCTCTCCCTCTCTGCCCATGGGCAGAGAAAGAGAGAGAGAGAGACAGAGAGACGATCTGGGCCTCCCCAGATGGGGTCCAAGTAGATGGGGCCAGAGGGGCGCGCCGCATCACCGATGCATCGGCCATGCGGCTCGATATGGAGCCCGAATTTCTCCACCGCGACGGCGCCGAGACCTCGCGGACATCGCAGGTGCATCGGCAACGCATCGGCGATGCATCGGCGATGCGGTCTGGTCCTCCGACCCCATTTACTCGGACCCTATCCGGGAGACCTTTGTGAGAAAAGAAAGGAGGACTGCAGCTTCCCCCCAGCTGCGGTCAGGATGTGGATCCATGTCCACTACGTCTTGGAGTTTGGGGCACCCTTCCCAAGACACCCGAGCCGCTGCGGATCTGGACTGGGCAAAAATCTGGCCCCAAGAGGCTACTTCCCCTTCTCGCGTGGGGGGGCCACAGGTCCCCTCGCGAGGCCACTCCTGCACGGCTCGACGGTGGCCGCAGTCCCCCCATCGCCCCGTGCAGAAATCTCGGCGGGAGGTTCTCTCCACACGGTTCTGTCAACCTCAGCCTCTGGGGGCCCTCACCGAGCCCCAGGGCGGGATGAATCGGAGCTCCAGAGACGGGGGTCAATACAAACGGGGGTCAGTCAGAGCGCTGGATCCTGCACGATCCTACAAAGCCAGGGGCGCACTGACCCGGGCTCGGGTACAAAGTCCCGCAGGATCTTGCAGGACCTTGCAGGATCCCGCAACGCCTGACTGCCCCGGGTTTGGATTGACCCGGGTCAGTAAACCCCCGAATGAGCAGCTGGTCCCCTGGAGATTTGTCCAGACCTCCAGGGGTCCACGCCGCGAACAATCACGACGCCGCAGTTTTGGATCCCGGTTCCATCCTCCCTCCTGCCCCCTGCCCCTTCCTGCCCTATGCGCCCCCCCCTTCCTGTCACCCCGCTGCCCCCTCGCGGGCGCGCCCTCCTGCCTGCCTATCCCTCCCCCCTCTTACCCCTCCCTCCCTCGCGCTCCCCCCTCCTGCCCCCTCCTGCCCCCCCCCCTCCCTCCCTCCCGCTGCCCTCTGCTGCCCCCTTCCTCCCCCTCGCTGCTCGGCCGCGCGCCCCCCTCTCCCCCCTCCTGCCCCCTTCCTCCCCCTCTCGCCGCAGCGGCCGCGGCGGCGGCGACGCGCTCTCGTGGAGCGGCGCGGCGCGGCGTCGGGGCCCCCGCAGATCTGGCGGACGGCGTCGCGGCGGCCGCTGCTGCTGCTGCCGCTTCCTCGTGATCCGTGCCTTTGTACTTTCCTGACAGGCTGTCTGTGAGGGCTGTGGTGCGTGCTGCTTCTGAGTTGTGAGGCCGGGGCTGCTGCTCCCAGTCTGAATCGATAGGCCCTGGTCTCCCGCATGGTCTCCGGTATGGTCTCCCGCATGGTCTCCCGTATGGTCTCGTGCATCGCATGATCGTCTCTGTGGCTTGCTGGAGGCATGCACCCACCAACATTGCGCGCGTGGCAGGCGCAATAAGCGCACCAAGCTGAACTTGCACGCACGGATGCGAGGGGCCCCGAGAGTTGTGAGTAAGAGGGAGGGATCGCGGGTCTCTGGGGGGAGGGCGTGTAGGTCACCGGCAATGCTAAGAGCATCCATCAGCTCAAGATTGTTCGCTCTGGTCTGCTCCTGTGTGGACTAGCGTGTACCACTGGGGCCAAGAAGGGGCTGCGCTCCCTCGCGGTGAGGTTCCGTCTGACCCGCGCCCCCGAAGGCGACGGAGAGCTACGACGGGGCTGGGGGCGATCCGTCGGCGTGCAAGGAAAGGCGCGTGTTTGCTCTCTGACTGCAGTGTGTGGAGGGGTGCACATCTTTGCGGGGGCGTCATGTCTCCCCTGTCCCTTCTCATTCCCTCCTCCTCCTCCTCCTCCTCCCCCTCCTCCTCCTCCTCCTCCCCCTCCTCCTCCTCCTCCTCCTCCTCCTCCTCCCTCCCCTTCCTCCTCCTCCTCCTACTCCTCCTCATCCTACTCCTACTCCTCTCCTCATTCCCTCCTCCTCCTCCTCCGCCTCCTCCTCCTCCTCCTCCTCCTCCTCCTCCCTCCCCCATCCTTCTTCTCTCCTTATTCCTCCTCCTCCTCGTCCTCCCCCTCCTCCTCCTTCTCCTCTCCTCTCCTCATTCCTCATCCTCCTCCTCCTCCTCCTCCGGCTCCTCCTCATCTTCGTCTCTTCCTCTCTCCTCCTCCTTCTTCTCCTCCTCCTCCTCCTCCTCCTCCTCCTCCTCCTCCTTCTCCTCCTCCTCCTCCTCCTCCTCCTCCTCCTCCTCCTTGTTCCCACCGGTTATGGGGCCCCGCGTGCAGTACGGAGCGCGCGGGGCGCGCAGGTGGAGGGCGTGCGGAGGCGCCCCTCCTCCTGCCCTTCTTCCTCGGGTCGTGTCGTCGTCCCTCCTCCCGGCTCCGTCCCGCAGCTGGCAACATATGGCAGAGCGCTGGGCTGTTTTGCCTTCCACCCGCCTCCGTCGTCCTCTTCGTCTTCCTTCCACCCTCCTCCACTGCGGACTGCCGCCGAGTCTCCCATCTCGGACTCGTCTGCCTCGGCGCTTCGGACCTCGTCCACCTCGAGTTGCAAGGAGGAGGAGGAGGAGGAGGAGGACGAGGAAGAAGACCAGCAGCAGCAGCAGAAGATGGAGAGGAGGAGGAGGAGGAGGAGGAGGAGGGCCCCCAAGAGCCCCCTATGACCGAGTCGAGCCCCCCCCCCCTGAAAAATTACAGCGGCAGACGGCCCCACGCAGCTTCACACAGTTCACGAACTGAGGCCAGTGTGGGGGCCGCGATGGACAGCCGACTCCGGGGCATGGGCCAATGATGGGAGAGGGGGCCACGATAGGCCCCCCGATTGCCGAGTGCGGTATAGTAGTGTCTTGCGCGCTTGTGTTCGGTCCCCCCAGCGGCCCTCAAGAAGCCGTGCACCAAAGGTCACTCTTACCCAGGGTCACTCTTACCTGGGACCGAATCCCTGCGCGATGAGGGAAGAGGAGAGGGAGAAGCAACTTCCGTGCAGAACTGGTCCCCAGCCCCTCCCAGGGTCCATCCTGGACATTGTTTCGAGCTGTGTCCCGTCGTGGCCACGAGGGGAGGGAGGGGGGGGGGGGGGGCGGGCCGAAGGCCATAAAACGAGGAAGCGGAGGAGGAGGAGAGGCAGGGGGGAGGCTGCAGGGTGACTGCGTCCCACGGGCCGCCGAGCCCGCAGAGGGGAGAGGAAGATGGCACAGCCAGCGCCCCACGACGGGGCGAGCCTCGCAGCTCCGCGGAGCGCCTCACGAGCGTCGCGATGAGGAGGGGCGCGCACTAAGGCCTTGTCTCTTGTGGGGGGTAACGGAGCGGGGAACGGGAACTGTCGAAGAGAAACGAAACTACATAAGGTGATCGTTTTTCATTCATTGCTTTGCCGATCGGCGCGGGCCTTCGCCCCCCATCTCCTCCCTGGTGGAGTGAGTGGATCTTGGCTGTTGTTAATGGCGCCTGTTTCGAGCAGGTGGAGTCCTTCCCGATAGGACGCACGGCTCCAAACAGTCGCATGAAGCAGAGGTCCGGAGCCAGACCCCCCCTCCCCCCCCTTTTTTCCGCCGATGTCGAAACGTCGAATAAAAAAAAACGCTCACAAACTTTTGGAGCTCCGCGCAGATCTCTTGGATCGGCGCTGGGCCCCCCCGGCGGCGCCTCCGAAGCTACCCTCGGCGCCCTCCGCGGGCCGAGGAGCGGGCCCAGCGCAGGTCTCAAGGAATCCGCGCGCGGGATTGCGACAGCTTATGCGCATGCCGTGTCTTGTCCCCTGCTGTTCTTCGCAGAGGAGGAGGGAGGCGGCAAGAGGGGGGAGGAGGGGGAGGAGGAGGAGGAGGAGGAGGAGGAGGAGGAGGAGGAGGAGGAGGAGGAGGAGGAGGAGGAGGGAGGAGGGGCGGCATTGCAGCAGTCTTGTGTGCCGAGCAGTTTTGTTTTCCCAGAGCCAGAGTAAGAACGGGGTGCGCGGCCCCGCCTGCCCGCCCAGCACTGAGGCACCTGGTGGCCCAAAGCACGCAACCGACAGGGCGGGCGGAATGGCGTCAGCGAAGACAAGTGAGAAGAGAGGAGGACCTCGCGCAGGACACCATCCACGTCTTCAGCGTGGCCTCGGGGCACCGGTACGAGCGGCTGCTGCGCATCATGATCACGTCGGTGCGGGAGCACACGAAGTGCCCCCTGCGGCTCTGGCTGGCGGACCCGGGCGGGCGGACTGGGCTCTTCCTCCTTCTCCTCCTCCTCCTCCTCCTGATCTTCGTCATTGTCCTTCCGTCTTGCGACAGTTTCCGGATTCGCTCGACCATCGACGCTCGTGTGCAGCCCAGACCGTGCACAGGGCACGGCCTATTCAGTAACGGACAGCCCCAGACAGTGCTTGCACGAGGGAGGCGCAGTCTGTCGCTCATCTGTAGTAAAATGTGCGTGCCGGGCTGTCGGCTGGTGCCAGGTTGGTGGGCGCCCGTCGGCGCCTCGCGGGCGCCCGCGCTGGGCGGATGTGCAGAGGTTTCGCTTGGTGCCCGCGCGTGGCTGCCCGTAGGCGCCTCGTGCGCTGGGTGGGCGTGCCGAGGGTTCCCCTGGTGCCCGCCCGTGGGCGCCTCATGGGGGCCTCGTGCGTTGAGTGGGTGTGCCGAGGTGCATCCTGGTGCCCGCTCGTTGGCTCCTCGCGGGCGGCTCGTGCGTTGAGGGGGTGTGCCGAGGTTTCGCCTGGTGCATCGAGGGCGCCGCGTGGGCGCCTCTCGCGCCAGGCGGGAGGCGGGAGCTCGAGCTTGCAAGGCATGGCGTGTCGCAGGGGCCGACGCCACGGCACGCCAAACAAAAGTTCCGGTCCTTAGAGGAGCAGGAAGTGGAGGTCCCCCTTCCCTCCACCCTCCTCTCCATCCTTCCCATTCCTCTTTCTTTTAAACCCCCTTCCTCCTCTTCCTCCCCCTCCTCCTTTCCCTCCTCCTCCTCGAGCCTCCTCCTCCTCGAGCCTCCTCCTCCTCCTCCTCCTCCTCCTCCTCCTCCTCCTCCTCCTCCTCCTCCCCCTCCTCCTCCTCCTCCTCCTCCTCCTCCTCCTCCTCCTGCTCCCCCTCCCCCCACCCTTCTCAGCCCTTCCTCCCTCACCCGCAGGTGGAGAACTTCCTGAGCCCCAGTTTCCGGAGGCCGGCGGGCGGGCCCGTGCGGCGCGCCCTCTTGCGACTGGGGGAGGCTGGGGGCGAGGGCGCCGCGGGGGGCATGCCAGGGAGGCGGAGGAAGAGGACAAGGAGGCTGAGGAAGGGGACAAGGAGGAGGAGAAGGGGGAGGCTGAGGAAGGGGGCAAGGAGGGACTGGGGGAGGCTGAGGAAGGGGACAAGGAGGAGGAGAAGGGGAGGCTGAGGAAGAGGACAAGGAGGAGGAGAAGGGGGAGGAGGCGCGAGGAGAGGAGAGACGGAGGCAGGCGGATGAGGAGGGAGGAAGCGGAGGAGGGTCAAGAGCAATAGCCAAGTCAGCCTGGTCGAGCGAGAGTCACAGGGCCCCGCTTATTCTAAGCCGGTCTTGGCGACAAGTTATTATGCCCCAGGGCCTTACTTTGGTGTGGGGCATAAAAATTGTTATGGCTGTTGACGCAGATTCTTCCCTCCCCTTCCTTCCCTTGATCCTCCTCCAATTTCTCCTCCTCTAGGCTACGATGCTGGTCATACGTTCGCCGTTATTGCTGCCCCTGCTACTAGTCGTCTTCGTGGACGGTCTGCGCAGCAGACCAGGCATAGCTGGCCAAACTAGTTGGACCAGCCAAATCACCAGACCAGCCAAACCAGGTACAGTAGCCAATCGACCAACCAACCAAGACTACACAACTAGCCAGGCCAGACCAAGCAGACAAAAACCAGGCGAGCCAGCTGAACTAGTGGACCGACGAGACCAGACGAGACCAAGGCCAGCCAAGCTAACCGAACAAAGTAAATCAAACAGACGAGCCAGCCAGCCTGGAGGAAAAACCAGCGCGACCACACCGATGAAACCAACAAGTTGAGATCGGAGTCGAACCTTGCCGACTGGACCAGGAAGACCAATTGGGTTAAATTCCCTAATCAGCGCTTGCACTGAAGGGGTCCTCGCGGAAATCGAAAGATTTGGCGAAAGTGTCCCGATGTTGGTGGCCGGCTGGGTTCCCAGGTTCCTGGTTCTGGGTTCTTGGGTTCTTGATTGTTTGTTCCGGGCCGATTTCGGTGGGTTCTGGGTTCCCGGGTTCCCGGTCGATCTACTTGACTGAACACATTTCAAACTATCAAATGATTGGGTCTTTTCTCTGATGTCATAGACTAACCAGGCCCAGTGGAGCATCCACACCAGACCAAGCAGGCCAACTAACTAAGATGAGAACGTGCCAAGCAGGTCAGCCAGACGAGTCAGACAAACAAAGCAAATCGAGTCAGACCGACCGAACTTATGGGACGTACCGGACCAGACGAACCAGACCAATCAGGTGAACCATGCGGCTCACCAGATCAGATCATACCAGACCAGCCAGACCAGACCAGACCAACCAAGACCAGCCAGACGAATCCGACCAACCAGGCAACCTGAACCAGACCGACAATGCTGCCCAGACCAACTAGACCAATTCAACCAGACTAACTAAAGGAACGCTCATATTCCGCGCTGTACGCATGCAGACCAACCAGGCCAAGCAGGCCCGCCTGCCACGTAGACCAGTCCACACCAGAGTAATTTTACCAACGAGACGAAATACAACAATACCAACATCTTATTAGAAAAGATGCAATTTGAAACAGTTGCGATGTTATTAAAAACTTGCAACAGGGAGACCACCCAGACCAGCAAGTCTAACGAGCAAAGTATATCAATTTGATCCATCAGACCAGCCAGTCAGATGAGTCAGCCAGACCAGACCAAGCTGACCAACGGGACCAGCTAGTCACCCAGACTAGGCAAGGTCACAGCAGACGTCAGCAGGTCAACCGTCATTTGCCAGACCAGCCGGACCAAGTAGACCAACCAGACCAGCCAGCCATCTAGACCAGCCAAGTCCAGACCAGAGTAATCAGATGTTTCCCCTCCAGACCAAAACGCCATTGCAAAAAAAATGCCATGCAACAGTATTCGATGCAACGAGCAAGCAGCATTGCAAACACACAGGTGTTGCTGTTGTCGTGGTTGGCTCTGCGCGCTTCGCACCTCCATGCACTCCCTCGAACCACACTCGTCTCCCGCGCGGAATCAGTAGCTCAAGCTGTAGCAACGAAACAGCCATAACCCGAAGCACACCCAGACTGCATTGCCCCAAAAATGCAACGCCAACAAAACGGCAACGCACACATAAATTCAACTCCCAGAGAAAATTGCACGCCTCGCACATTCCTTCACCTCCGCAGACCGCATTCGGCTCGCACGCGGAATCGCAATCCGAAGTCCAAGTTCGCGCTTCTAGCAACGACGCAGCGGCACCCCGAAGCAGACCAAAATGGCATTGCCAAACAAATGCGACGCAAAGAAGCTGTAGTTCAAAACGATGTATTTGTCGTCATCGTGGTTTCTGCTGCGTGCTTCTCGGCTCGCGCGAAGCACCACGATCGCGCGTGCATGCTCTAGTACCTCGTAGCGAAACAGCGGCTCGCCGAAGCAGACCAAACTTGCACTGCCAAAAAAGACAGCGCAATGTCAAAAAGAAGTGCAACGCCGCGAAAATGTCAGCGGGGCATTTCCTGCAACATAGACGGGCCGACGCCCCCGCGCCACAGCACAGAGGCGAATCATATGGGGCGGATGAGGGTTAGCTTCGTGTTCCAATTCGGCCGCATCCTGCACCCCGAGCGTCGTCTGCCTGTTGAAAACAGCGCAGCAGCGCTGTCTGTGCACGTGCCGAGGTTCTGCACTCCTCCACCTGCGACGCCCACGGGCAACCAGCCAATCGGAGAAGAGCGAGCCGACGGCGACGCCAGTCCACCATCGCGGCGCCCAGCCTGCCCCCCCCCCCCCGAGAGGAGGACGGATAAAGGGCAACCGCGCATTGCAAAGCAACGTTGGCCGCGAGGACAGGGCCGCCAGCTGCAAATCAGCTTCAGGCGTGGGAGAACACAACCACGCGCGCCACGCAGGCGCCCACGCTGCAATAACGGCATAGCGCCAATCGGGGCGTAGAAGCCGCGAGGCGTGGAGGCCCACAGGCCAGACAGATGAGTGTCCTGCCCCCGGCATTGCTGCGCGATTTGGGAGCCACGGAGATCCATGCGGGTACTTCCTGCTAGTCACAGAGTCTGAACGGGAGCCCCGCTTTGAAAACTAACCACCCTCCTTTCGCGCAGTTGCTGCAAAGTTTTAACAAGAATCTGCGCGGGCTCTGTCCGGAGCTCCAAGTGCAGTTGAGCCGCATAGTTAAGGATGGGCAACCTTCCCACGTGTTTTTTTGCGTCCTTGCCTCCTCGGTCAATCCTTGGCCACTTTCGTTGGCGGCGCCCCGCTCGAAAAGCTTCGAAATGGGCGCCCAAGGCCCCTGCATCCTTATCCCGCATCCTTATGATACGAGCCGACGGTGCACTTAAAAGATGATGTGCATGCTGGGCCCATTTTAAGACGAGCGCGCGTGGCCCAAAGTCGAGAGCCCCATCCTGATGTTGTCCTGCGCCCAATGTTTTGTTGTTTAAAGGATATTGGACATTTCCAGCGTCGAAATCTCTCACGTGATGAAGTTGCAGGCGAAAAGCGCCCGCCCCGCCCCAGCGACACTTCTGTTGACGCGACGTGGAGGAGTTGCCTATAGGGAAGACGGACGGAGGGGGAGACCGAGGGTTTGGTCGGGCATGTCCTCCAACAGGCGAATTTGGACGACAAATAAAAAAACGCAAACAATTACAATTGTCAAAAAATCAAATATAGTCGAAACATCGTCCCCTCATTACTTTCTGACTGTTTTCGGACCTTCCTCCTGCAGAGGGACACGCCCGATTTAAACCGAGGGGAGGGGGGACGAAGGGGGAGGCCTGTATATGCTCGTCCCTCTCGCACCCGCGAGGGTGCTGCCGGCGGTGGCCAAGGAGGTGGGCTTCGCGGTGAGCCAGGTGACGTACAAATGGCCCGAGTGGCTCAGGCCCCGCCCGTGGCTTTCGTCGTCTCCGTCGTCGTTTGTCGCCGGCGGCGGCGGAGAAGGAAGAGGTGGAGGACGAGGAGGGAGAGGAGGAGGAGGAGGAGGACCAGTGCAAGCCCAATATTCATCAACGATGAGGCAATGAGCCCTCTCTCCCAGCTCCCTCTTTAAAGGGGCCCCAACGAAGATTCATTTCCACTGAGGGAACCGCCTCGTTGGAGACTGCCGTTTGAAGACCCGTTCTCGGTATTCCAACGCCACGAATCAACCTTACTCTTGCGTCCTGACAATCCTACGTTTTTCCAAAACACCAGATCTGGTACGCAGACCATTGGAATCCGTGAACCTCTTTCCAGTGTGTAACGCAAATGTCCGCGGCGCTACGGCGAGAGCCACATTTCGAAAAGGAATCACCGTCAAAACGTCAAACTCTGGCAAGTATGTAAAACGAATATGCGCGGCGTTAAAGCGAGAACCACATGTTTAAAACGTGCCGCCCGCAATCCGTTACAGTCCTGAACGACCATGCGCGGCGCTAAGGCGAGAGCCACGTTTTGAAAACTGCCCGCCCTCAATCCGTGACGCTCTTGCAAATATTAAAAACGACAATGCGCGGCGCTAAGGCGAGAGCCACATTTTGAAAACGGCCCGCCCTCAATCCGTGACACTCCTTAGCAAACTCTGAAAAGAATGTGCGCGGCGCTAGGGCGAAAGCCACATTTTGAAAACGGCCCGCCCTCAATCCGTGAAACTCCTGTAAAGTCTTTAAACGAGCATGCGCGGCGCTAGGGCGAGAGCAACATTTTGAAAGTGGCCCGTGTATCAGGAACAGGAAGGGAGGAGCAGGAGGAGGAGGAGGAGGAAGAGGAAGAGGAACAGGAAGAGGAAGAGGAAGAGAAAGAGTGCACCAGCGGATGAAAAGGCGGTAGGGGTGGCTGCCGGTGTAACCAGAGCGAATGTGATGATCTCCCTTCCTGCAGTGGTGCCTGGGAGCCCTGTCCGAGGGGCTACGCCAAACTGGCGACCATCACTTGGTCAATATTTTCGAACAGTAGTGTGGAGTCCCACCCTGGGCGGGCGTCTTACCAAGTGGAGAAGCAAAGGAAGGAGGAGGAGGAGGAGGAGGAGGAGGAGGAGGGAGGAACGAGGAGCAAGGAGCATGGTAACGACTGGGTCTCATGGCCCAGATCCAGGAGAGAAAAATCAGCGCCGAGGCACGACCAAATCATACAGCGCCATGCGAAGCGATTGATAGGGGGGGGGCACACGGCGCGCGCCGCGCGCCGCAGCTCGCCGCAGCTGCCTCAGTTTCGCCCCTGCCCTTGCCTGGAGGATGGGGCAGCGACTGGAGGGCAAGGAGTGCGGAGGGAGGAGGAGGAGCGAGGAGGGAGGAGCGAGGAGGGGCGGGGGAATCGGGGGGAGAAGGGAGGGAGGAAGTAAGGAGGGAGCAGAGAGGGACGAGGGGGGAGGAGGGAGGAGGAGCCGACCTCCCCAGGGCGCAGACGCAGAAGCAGCGCGTCATCTGGGCCTACAAGATCCTCTTCCTGGACGTCTTCTTCCCGTCCCAGGCGCAGCTGGCGGCTTTCTGGGGAGCCGGAGGGCGCCCTCCTCTCCCTCCCCCCAGGATCGAGGCCCGAGGCATCGAGGATCGACGCTTGGGGGCAAGTGCGAATACCTTCAGATCTGGACGATGCCATTTTCAGGCGATCGCAAGCATGGATCAAGGGGGCGTGGATTAGCGACGGGTCCCGTGTTCATGGGAAATCGCGGATTTCCACTGCCAAGCGAGGCGGCGACGGCCGCATTTTGGAGAGGGCACTTCCCCCGATCCATGGATTTGGCGACCGCGCGCCAAAGCCATGGATCGCTAATCCATGTCTGCGCGCCCCCGACACTTGTGAATACCTTCAGTTCTGGACGTTGCAAGTTGCTCGCGCTGGCCGTTTTCGCCCAGTTCCGGACCCCAGGGCACGCACGGAACGACTTGGCTCGAAGAAGAAGATGCAGCAGAGAGATGGGGACTAGAAGGCTCTGGGCTTTTGTGTTTCCCCATATCCTAAGATGGGGTTATTGTTATTACTTGGGCGCCTCCTACTCCTCCTTCCTCTTCTTCTCCTCCTCCTCATCCTTCTCATACCTAGAACTACTCATACACAGACTCTCTCATACACAGACTTAAGACTTGATCAGATTAACTCAATCAGACTCAGACCTACTCATATTCATACCTACTCATGTTCATACCTATTCATGCTGAGACTCACTCATACCCAGACTTACTCAGGCTCAGACATTCTCGTTGTCCGACTTACTCAACACACAGCAGATTGAGAGGATGTTTCAGGCGGGGCGCTGGTTTCAGCATTCAGCACCCCCAAGGGGAGCCGCCGAGGGGTATGACACGGTCCCGTTCGCGACCGTTTTGTGGGGATGTCTCAAGCGGTTTGCTTGTTTTCTGTCTCAAGATCCTTCGTTTGGAGAGCAGATTGTGAGGATGTCTCAGGCGGGGCGCTGGTTTCTGCACCCCTAAGGGGAGACGCCGAGGGGTATGACACGGTCCCGTTCGCGGCCGTTTTGTGGGGATGTCTCAAGCGGTTTGCTTGTTTTCTGCCTCGACATCTTTTGCATGGAGAGCAGATTGTGAGGATGTCTCAGGCGGGGCGCTGTCTTCAGCTATCTGAGGACGACCCTACAATATGAAATGCATATTTCGCTCATATGGTTAGACATTCATTTAAATATCCCAAATGTACTACAACCTTTTTAAAAAGGATGCACATATGGGGAGCTCCACGCAGTGAGTCATTTTATTGGGGAGGTATCGCATTTTGTTCGCAGCGTCGATGGAAGGGTTTGGAGAAATAATGTTGCAGAGGGATGGGGTCTAGGGCTCTCGGCTCCAGTCGTGTCTTTTGGAGAAGGAGGAGTTGCATGTTGTTCGCAGCGTCGGATCAAAGGGTTTGGGTTTTTTTGGTGCCTTCGACCGGAGGCACCTCCGCCGTGGAGTTGCAGAGTTCTCTTATAATTAGCCTTGGGAGGTCGAAGCCGCTGCAGCTCGAAGAAGTCGGGCCCGAGGTTTTTCGCAAGGTGGGGAGCAGCGGGCAAGAGGAGGAGGAGGATGAGGACCAGTGTAAACACAGGAGTCATCAACAATGTTCGAATGAACCCTCCCTCCAGGCACCCCCCTCATAGACCCCTACAACGGTTCATTTCCACTGAGGGAACTGCCTCGTTGGAAGGCAACCGATTGAAGACCCTGAAGCATACTAGAACATTGTTCTCGGGATTCCAACGCCGCGGGTCAACCTGAGTGTTGCGTCTTCGCGAACTTGAATCGTTCCAGCACACCATTCCTGGGACTTCCAACACCGCGAATCAACGTAACTGTTGCACCCTCATAATCCTGAATCCTTCCCAAACGCAATTTCGGGTACGCTGAGCATGGGCACAAGTGACATCCTTGCAATGTTTTATATGAATTCTGCAAATACGTGTCAATTTTTTTGGTACGCAAAACTGTGCGCGGCGCTAGGGCGAGAGCCACATCTTGAAAGAGAGCCGCCCTCAATCCGTGAAACGATTGCAAACGTTTGAAACGAATGTGCGCGGCGCTAAGGCGAGAGCCTCATGTTGAAAACGACCCGCCTTCCATCCGTGCAACTCCTGCACCTTATATTTAGAACGAACGGCCACGCTTTGAAAACGACCCGCCCTCCATCCGTGAGGCTCTTGCAAATGTTAAAAACGAATGTGCGCGGCGCAGAGGCGAGAGCCTCATGTTGAAAACGACCCGCCTTCCATCCGTGCAACTCCTGCACCTTATAGTGAGAACGAACGCGCGCGGCGCTGAGGCGAGAGCCACGCCTTGAAAACGGCCCGCCCTCCATCCGTGAGGCGCTTGCAAATGTTAAAAACGAATGTGCGCGGCACAGAGGCGAGAGCCACATGTTGAAAACGACCATGCCTCCAATTGCGAAACTGATGCCACTGGTTTAGACTCAGGGCCATAACTGGTGAGGACGTCTCAGGCGAAACGCCCGGCCCGCCCCAAAAATTGGCCTCGGGGTGCGACAGGGAGAAATGATGTGCAAGGAGAGGGAATGGAGGAAGAGGAGGAGGAGGAAGAGGAGGAGGAGGAGGAGGTGGAGGAGGAGGAGGGCGCCCCTGGTGTCGCACGAGCCACAGAATCAGGCGACCGCGCGCGAGATGGCAGAACGTGGGCCGTTCGCAAGCTGCTCTGGTTGCCGCCTGGCTTGTCTGGTCGTGCCGTCTTTGCTCTTAGTTGGTCCTGTCTTGTCATGTCTCGCCACGCCTTTTTTCCAGCGTGGCCTCGGAATGCGGCGTCAGCGCCTCGCTTTGTCCTCCTCCCCTCCCTCCATGGCCCTTCTCCCTCCCTCCATCGTTCGCAATTAGTCCCAACGGTTTTCTAATGTTCACGAGGCGGTTAAATATCGGTGAGCAGAAGGATGACGAGGAGATCCCGGCGTCTGCAAATGAGCGGTGGCCAGAAGCGACCCAGGGCGCATCTCATTAACTCGGTCAGACCTTCACGGGGCCAATCATTCCCGCCCGACTTGGGCGATGCTGGCGCTGTCGACGAGCTGGCCCCCGAGGCCAAGCGAGGCGATCAACAATCGGGTTCTCCCTTGCCGAGACCCAGGGTGGGTCGTCAACTGTTTGCCCTGAGGTTCTCGGCCTCGTAGCAGCAAGGGGGCGGAGGAGGAGGAGGAGAAGGAGGAGGAAAAGGATCGCGGATCGCGGTCAGTGAGGACGAAGTACGAGCTAAGAGGGCACATGGAAGACGTTTCGATTAAGCCTAGAGTGGTGTGCATAGTTTCGGCGGCTATTGGGGGGTGGACGGGGGACGAGCGAGGAAGGAAAGGACCGGGGAAGGGCGAGCAGATGCCAGCGAGAGGAGGACAAGAAGGAGGACGGCGGCGCCGTGAGCGTGAGGAGGATGGGCCAGAGAGGTGGGAGGGGAAAGGAGTGGGCAGAGGAGAGCGGTTGTAATAGATCACTGTTTGTCACAATCTGTCTAAGATCACGTTTGCGATTAATGTGTTTTAGGTTTCTTCTTAATGAGGATGGGGCGGGGAATGGAGAGGGGAGGGAGGAAGGACAGAAGGCAGGGATCGAGAGGAGGAGGGCGAGGCGAGGCTGCAGGAGGCGGGGGTGGCGCTCCGAAGCCCCAGGGCTCGAGCTCGGCCAGAGGAATGGGGGCAGGTGAAGCGCGTGATGTTCATCGACGCTGATCAGATCGTCCGCGCCGACGTGAAGGACGGGCCCGTGCCAGAAGCCTGCTGTCGGTCCCCGCGTGCCAGGGGTCCGCGGACCACAGATCTCCGGCGACAGGTGTTTCTTGACCTTCCCGCGTGCTGGGTCCTCGTCTCGAGTCCGCCCGCGCTCCACCTCCCTCTACAATTACACAATATGAGAATACTCTCCCACTTGCCCTGATGGCGTCCCGAAGATATCCGACCCCCCCCCCCCGCGTACTGTTTTCTTACACACAGGATTCCCGGGAAACAGGTTTTCGCTTGCGTTTTTTCCAAAATGCTGCTCTCGCTGAGGCGCCGGCCTCATTTCTGCTCCCGAATCGTTCCGAGTCGTGCTCCCGCTGCAGCGTGGGCCTCATTTTCGGATCGGTGTTTGGCCTCCGTCGTTCAGGATGGCGTTCTCGCCCCAGCGCGGGCCTCTTTCTCGCGCGCCCATCCGCCCGCCACCACCGCGCCGCACCACCACCACCACCACCACCACCACCACCACCACCACCACCCACCACCACCACCACCACCACCACCACCACCACCACCACCACCACCACCACCACCACCACCACCACCACCACCACCACCACCACGACAACCACGCGCACACGCACGCACGCACGCACGTGCACCACCACCCACTACGCACGCGCGCGCGGAGCCACAGGTCCGCTACGACACGCGTCCGCGGATAGAGAAAATCAGCGCCATGGTAAGGGATGGGAGGGAGGGGTAGGACGTCAGATATGACGCGAGCGCACCTAGCTTGTCTCCTCCCCCTCCTCCGCCCTCCTCCCTCCTCTCCTCCTCCACTCTTCCCTTCTCTCCGATGTTCTCCTCTTCCCCATTTCGGCGCGCCTCTCACGCGGCTCGTGCGTCCATAGGCACAGGAAGCTACACCTATGACCTATGGCCCCAGTGGGCGTGCTCGCATGGCGTCTCCGCGCCCAATTCGGCATACCCAAATTTCCGACGACATGATTCTTTCGATCTGGGCGTTTCCTTCGATCTCGACCCCTGGGGGCTGTCTTCGGGCCCGGGAGCCATCGAAGATGTGTCCGGGGCGAAGAACAGCACCTCGGGAAGGGGTCGGCACGTGGCACTTCTCCCAAGATCTGAGAGCACCATGGCGTCCCACCACTTCTCTCGGGTTCAGACCGATCGGCGAGGATCTCGACCCGAAGCCAGGCGAAAACGCCTGGTTCGAAACACGTGCGACGCCCAGGCGATCGTTTTCTGATTCATTGCTCTGCCGATCGGCGCGGGCCCTCGCACCCCCCCCCATGTAGGAATTCTTGGGCGTTCTTGGGAGAAGGTTTCGAGCGGGTGGAGTCCTTCGTCCACATGACGCACTGCTGCGAACAGCCACACCGAGCAGAGGTCCGGAGCCAGACCCCATCCATCCCCCCCCTTCCGCCCAATGTCGAAACGCCGAATAAGAAAACGCTCACTTGCTGGAGAGCCAGGCCCGCCTGGACCTGTCGTGGCGCAAAACATCGCAGAGCGGATTTCGCTCGGAAAACAATGGGATGGGCCCCGACTGTCCTGGAGAATTGCGTTCTGCATCTCGATGGGAGTTTCGTGCGGATCTTCTTTGGCCAGGAACGAAAACTGAAAGGAACCCACATGAAGTTCACGTCGTTTGTCGCTCGCCGTTTCGGGGTGTTACATCGACAGAAAACCACGCGAAAATCCTCAGCAGCACGTCTGCAAGGTCGGTGCAGCGAGACTTGGGGCGGATTGACTCAGCAGCAAGTCGTGGGAGCCTGGTATACCCTCGCAATTCTGTCTTTGGCGCCGACTGGCGCCGACCAGCGTCTGGGAATCGAGGAGATGTGCCGATGCAGCGTCGGCTGGCAACTTGGCGTCGATTCAGCGCCGATCAGCGTCGACTGGCGTCGACGAGCGTCGATGCGCAAGAGCCGGCGAGGCGGTGTGGGAGGCTCCCACGAGCTGGGCCCCGGGGGGACGGCTCTCGGGCCCGGGGCTCCCAGAAGTGGCAGCGGGAGCAGCAGGAGGAGAAGGAGCAGCAGGAGGAGGAGGACGGCGAGGAGGAGGAGGAGGAGGAGGAGGAGGAGGAGGAGGAGGAGGAGGGAGATGAGGAGGAGAAGGAGGAAGACGAGGGGGAGGAGGACGAGGAGGGGGAGGAGGAGGAGGAGGAGGAGGAGGAGGAGGAGGACGGGGCCCCGGTCCTGCGCGCGGGTCGTCGTTGGGAGGGCCCGGCAGGGCCTGAGGGCGCTCCAGAGGCCAGAGATGAGAGGAAACGCCCGTCGCACCTGTCTCCTGCGCTCGTCCGGGGCCCCTCCCTCGAACCCGACCCCCCGACCTCTCCTTCGAGGGCCAGCTGAGACCACGGCAGTTGGCCTTCGGGGGGGGGGGGCTCGTCGCCACGGCTGGACGCAGCTCGGAAAGCTGGTGCGTTTGGACCCCGGGAGGGGTCCGGGGATCGAATTTGAGTTGCCGTCGTATCGGTTCGCGCTGCTCCGGCTCCCGAGAGAGGGCGCGTTCTGGCCAGCACTCGTGTGCGAGTCTGGCCCCCCCCCCGATCGGGGCTGGCGCAGAGGGAGGTGACCAGGGGAAGGGATATCGGGCCATGATATGTCCCAGGATGTCGTGGCCCCTGTATTCTTCTTCCGGTGAGCATACTATCGGCTACGATTATGGATCTGCCCGTCAGTCGCATCCAGTACGACTGGTAATATTGTGAGATTTCTTATGATTTGCATGATCCTCATTATTATCTGGAGTCTTGTTATTCTTTCCGGGGGGTTCCTTTGGTCCCCTCCTGGGTCGCGCACGTGCCTCGGGCCACGATCTGCGAACGCCCCTCTTGGACGCCCCCGAGCCGAAGCAGGCCCAGGAGCGCCGCGCCTCCCCTTCTCCTGGCCCTCGCCCTGGCCGTGCCTGGGCCTCCTCCGGCTCGCGCGGTCCCGAGGCGCGGGGGGCCCCAGACTCAGGTCGGGCGTGTCCCCTCCACAGGAGGAAGTTTCAAGAGCAGTCCACAAAGTATGGGGGCGATTTTTCTACTAGCTCTGACTATTCTTGAGTATGGGTTGGCAATGTTTTACCTGTCCTCGAAATTCCGCCTCTGGGAGGACATGCCCGACCAAAGGCTCGCTCGGTCCCGAGGCGCGGGGGCCCCCAGACCTCCCGACCCAGTCCCCGGGCCCTGCTCACGCAATTTGAGCTGGACGGGGCGACGACGAGGGCAAGCCCATCCCAGAGCGTTCCTCCTCCTCCTCCTCCTCCTCCTCCTCCTCCTCCTCCTCCTCCTCCTCCTCCCCTCCGCCACGTGGTCCAATCTGGAGCAGTGGGTCGGGCGCAGGTGGGCGGCGCAGGGGAACGGGGTCGCCGCCGCCGACGTCGGCGCGACAGCGTCCCGCAGAAAGTCGCGCGTGAGCGCCCTCGCTCTCAGAGCGTTCCGGGACGCTGTGAAAAGGCCGCGGCGCCCGAGATATCCTCCAGAGCCGCCGGATTTCAGAGGTCCTCGATTTGTCCTCACCCTGTGTTTTCGTCGTCTTGGCTCCGTCTTATCGAACAGCTGAGGAAGCAACGAACCAGAAGGTTCCGAGGTCGGCGCTCGTCGCCCCATCTCCCTTGGCGCGCGAAAAACGCTCCAACAGCGGCGCCGAGAACACCGCCAGGGGAGCCCAGCGCCGATCCAAGAGATCCGCGCAGGCCTCCGAACGTTTATTTCCCACTCAGCGCTTGCTCACCTAGGGATCTCTCCTCGCTTCGTAGGTAATTAACTCCTCCCCCTCCTCCTCTTTCATTCCTGTCTTGTATAGATGATTATTATTATTATTCGTCGCACTGCGAGGCCAGTCGGAAGGGCGGGCTGGGCGTTACGCCGGACACTTCTTTACCACGTATGAGCCTCAAGCATAAAAAGTGGCAACAGCTTCGCAGATGGAGGGGGGCGGTTTTCAAAATGTGACTCTCGCCTGAGCGCCGCGCGCATCCGCAAAATCTTGCAAGAAATTCGCGGATTGAGGGAGTGTCGTTGTTTAAATGTGGCTAGCGCCGCGCACGTTCGTTTCAAACACTTGCAAAAGTGTCACTGGTTGGGGGCGGCTCCTTTTGAAATGTGGCCCTCGCTTCAGCGCCGCGCACACTCGTCTTGAACATGCTCAAGAGCTTCACATATTGAAGGCGAATCGTTTTCAAAATGTGTTTCTGCCCCGAGCGTCGCGCACATTCGTCATACAAAAATCGAGATTTGTTCGAATATTGGGCGGTTCTTTTTCAAAATGTGGCCCCCGCCTTGGCGCCGCGTACGCGCGTCCCAAACATTTGCAAGAGTTCCACGGATTCCCATCGTCAACGTACCAGAAATAGTTTTTTTCTTTGGAGCGAGTCGGGATTATCAGGGCGCAACAGTTACGTTGGTTCGCAGTGTTGAAATCCCACGAATGGTGTTCTGGCACGGTTCTAGATCGTCACGACGCAACAGTCAGGTTGATTCGTGGTGCTTGAGTCCCGGGAATGTCCTTTGGCGGGTTGCACGATATTTGACGGTTGTCTCACAAAGGGACTTTCCTACAGTGGGCATGAAAACCTCGTAGGGGCTAATACAAAAAGGAGCTTGGAGGGAGGGTTTATTCCAACATCGTTGATGAGTCTTGGGTTTGCGTTGGTTCTCCTCCTCTTCCCCGTGTTCCATTCCTTGTGCTTATGAATAA